GAACATTTTATTTCCTATACTGTCAGACACTGCTTAGGATACAAACAAGACTCCATGATCTCTGTCTATCCTGAGCTATTGTTTGCATGTTCTCTATGTTAAGACCCATAAATTATCCCTCTCTATATAATGTTCAGAGTGGCGAATTCTTTCGGTTAGCTCCTTTTGTGTACTTTTCTCCAGCTGCTCTATGCTACATTCTTAACACATCCAATATGACTCCATCATCTTTTATGGATAACTTTGGAGATGGGGTTGTTGCATGCTGATGAAATTCAGTATTTGTTATGAATTCATTCTATTTAATAAATAACCTTTTCCTGATGTCCTGACTAAAGACAAGTGTACATTCCAACTGCCAGCACTCCTGTACCCAGCCAACATGTCTCCTATACGGCAGCAAGGGAAACCTGTAACTTGATTAACTCCTACACTACTAGCTCAGTCTAGCTTGTAGTGAACAGAGTTAACATTCAAGCTTTCAATAGCCGTTAACCGAAATCCATGACCGTTTCCATTTGTTAGGTGTGATCCTGGGTCATAATCTATATACCGTATATACTCGATCATAAGCCGGTTTGTTTATAAGCCGACCCCTCCCTCCCCCCCAAGATGGATAAGTAAAAATGGAAAATTTTTATAACACGTTCATATGCCAACCCTATAATTCAGGGGTCAGCAAACTTTGGCTCCCGAGCCATCAGGAGAAGCCGCTGGTGGGCCGAGATAGTTTGTTTACCTTGAGCGTCTGCAGGCATGGAGGTAAACCTAAGTAAACAAAGTGTCCCGGAGCACCAGCGGCTTATCCTGACGGGCCGGGACAGCAAGTGGTGGGGAAATTTTTTGTGACCACCCCCCACATGACCCACCCCTAGCCCAGGACCCTCACAATCCCCATCCCATCCCTTCCCACCTTATCTGGGGAGGGCCAGGGGAGGATGGACACTCCTCCAGCAGGCTGGGCAGCGTGGCTGCAGCCTGCTCCGGCAGGCCAGACCGGAGCCTGCCAGCCCCGGAGCTGCAGCTGCTTCGGAGGCTGGGGGGAGAGAAGCGTGGCCAGAAGCGGAGACACTCTGGCACCGCCTCTTCCCTTCTGGCTCTGCTGCCTTCTCCTTGCTCCCTCTGTTGTGGGGAGGGGCTGTGTCCCACCTCTCCCTCTCTATACCTGTTCATAAGCCGACCCCCTTCTCTGGTGCTTCCTTTTTTACTAAAAAAATTCAGCTTATGAATGAGTATATACGGTAGTCAGCTTGATTTACTGTACTGTTTCTACAACAAGTGAGTTTCAGATGTAATGGCTTGTTAGACCAATCCACCCCATCTAGCTCATGGGAAGTACATAGGGGTTCAGACTCCACTCCTCAAGAAGAGGAATTGATTGATGAATCAGACTGCTCCTAAACTGTATGCATACTCTTTCTGAAGATAAACTGCAAAGATATGTTGCCAAGGCACAGGGACATTGGTCTCTGTTCAGCCCAGGTTCTTCACCAAAGGGCAGACTGATGAATTGAAAATGGGAATCCTCAAGAACAAAATGGAGGAACTGCCCATGAGCTAGGCCAGTGGTTCTCAATCTTCCCAGACTACTGCCCTTTTGTGTACTCCAAGTTTCACCTCACTTAAAAATTACTTGCTTACAAAATCAGACAAATTCAAAAGTGTCACAGCACACTATTAGTGAAAAACTGCTTACTTTTTCATTTTTACCATATAATTATAAAATAAATCAATTGGAATATAAATATTGTACTTACATTTCAGGGCATAGTATATAGAGCAGTGTAAACAAGTCATTGTCTGTATAAAATTTTCGTTTGAATTGATTTTCTATGTTGCCTGTTGTAAAACCAGGCAAATATCTAGATGAGTTGATGTACCATCTAGAAGACCTCTGTGTACCTCCCAGAGATAACCTATTTGAATGCCACTAAACTAGGCAAGTGGGGATATTAAGGTACACATTCTTGAGACTGATGGAGCATAAGAAGTCTCCCTCTTGGATAGACTGTAGGGGTACAATAAAATTTTAAAAAACTGAATTCTGCTTTACCTCTGCTCAAGTTTAAGTCTATTTTCTTTGTAATAGATCTCTCTATGGTATTTATCAAACTTCTCAAAATCCAGAGATGTTTTAATGTATGTCTTTCAATTCTTTTATTGATGTCTCCACAACTATGTTTTCAGTTTTAGCCAAACTACAGGAAAATTTCCAAATTTCTTGTCTGACAGAATCTGTAGACCATGTGGTACATTAACAGAAAAATACAGAGAACCACTAGACATAGTAAGCTGAGCTACACAAGAAATTGGTTCTCTTTCATAAATAGTTAATCACAGAAAACCAAGAACTGAAGATGAAAAAGTTAAGATTTCAAGAAAAGAACCGAAATTGTCATAGTGAGGTCTAAGACACATACAACAAAGCTTCAAACTGCAATATGAATATTTCAAATTAACACAAAAAACAATAGCGGAATCAAGAAATTCCAGATGTAAAGCTTCCATTCCATCTTTAACATAACCATGGCATCCAGACATTGCATCAGTCAAAGACCAGTACACAGCATAATAATTCATATACTCTTCAATAGCTAGGTGAACAGACACTAACAATGTAGTAAGAAAAGTAGGTTGAAAGTTAACCAATAACTACTAACTATGCAGATACACACGCTACACTGCACAGGCTCCGGAATCGTTAAAAGAAATAAACCTCAGAGTGCATTAAGAAATTTGTTCAACAGGTCAAGAACTCTTGGACTAAACCAACCACCTAAAGGTAGATTCAAGAGAAAATTATTGGGAATTATTGGACTAGCAAGGTCCAAGGGCAATGAAAAGGTCACCCCCAATTGTTGGGAAAAGGAAGACTGCTAGAATTTCTACCTTTGTGCTGTCCCAAGACGCTGACTTGGAGGGTGGGGGCAGCCGACACTTTTTTTGGGGGGGGAGGGGAAGTGGGAGGGAATCCTCTAGCTTGCAAACTGATAAATGTGAAGTTCCACTCCCCTCTAGCCATCTCCTACAACACCTCCAGAGACTAATGGCTGCTCCCTGCAGACAAGTCTCTACTACACCAAACCTCTCTAAGCTATTTTACACTCACCCTGCTCTCTCCCACATCACACACATACTTTCTGGGTGTTTGAGCTTCCCTCGAATAACTCCAGTCTCTGCCTCTGATCTGTCTCAGTTTTTCCAAGCTGCAGTATGAAGTTCACACAGTTCTTGATAGTTTCATGATGGCTGCCCACAGGGCTTTAAATAGCAGCAGAGAAATTAATTGGAATCTTGTTAATTTCATTCCACTGATACCCGACAAAGCTCTGACCATAAGTAGAAGCAGTAGGGCTGGCTCATCGTGTGCAGATGCAGGAAAAACAATAAGACATCAATTGAGTTTTGCTTCACATTTGTGAGACTAACTTTACAACCTTAAGTGCTAGAATTTTAATTAAAAAAAGAGAAATGTCAATTTCTGCAGAATGTGATGGCTTATGCTCCCACACTCATTGGGGAAAGGAGCTCAACAGTATTTTCTCAAGTCTTGATGTATCACATACTAATCATCATCATAAAGGCTTAGGGGGCATGCCTACATGAACATTTAAGTATGTTTACATTGCAATTAAAAACCTGTGGCTGGCCCATGCAAACTAAGTCAGTCTCAGAGCTGTTTAATTGCAGTGTAGGCATTCTTTGAGCTCTGGGACCCTCCCAATTCAAGCCTGAGCTACACAAATAAATGACATTTGTGTTTAGTATTAAAATATTAGACCATTTTGGAATAAGAAGGGATAGCTTTTACTGGTACTTGTTGACTAAAAATAGGAAAAAATATTTTACGTACAATCACTTGTAAGTGGAGGACCATGGGAAGTTATGTAAAAGTTGACTGCGTTCTTACAACTTAAAATAGCCAATTAAGCATTGAAGAAATTTTTATGAAAACTGTTCTAATTTAAGTAGTAATTTAGAGCTAGTATTTAACAGCTACAAACAACCGAAAATAATGTTATATAATGGAAGTACTAAGACTTAAAACTAAAAGTGTTAGCCAGCACCATGGAAGAAAATTAGTTACTTACTTCAACAGCTCATTGTATGCAAAAATAATTCATTCATTGCCCACAAGTTATGCTTGGCTTAAAATAAGGAGCAAATTCATCTCTTATTTCCTTCGTGATTTACCTTGGTCATCTTATATCTAATACTGTGATCCACATTCTGTCTTTAATAGTCAACTCGTTTTGCATTTCCAGGCTAATCATCTATTTGGTGTTCCTTCTAAAAACCACTGAGTCCTAATAGTAAAACAATTGCGAACGTATCATAAATATAGGGAATTCAACATTAAAGGTATGAAATCTAAGTGAAATAAACAATATTTATACATACAAAGCCTGTTAATTCTAAAATTCAGTTTCCCTCCTGTTCCTTAAAATTTATTAGAATGAGCCATAAAAATCAATGTCTCCACTGAGTCCATGTTTTTTAGTGTCTAGGAGTGTTATAAATTTAAGTTCCTGAGCTTGCCTTTTGAAGGTGTTGTGCATGTTTTCTTTGAGGAGGACAGAGATGAGATATGGAGTGATTGCTTAGTGAAAAGTTACTATTTTCCCTTAAAAGTAGTAAACCCAGTGTTCTCATAGAAGAGACACACATGAAAGCATATCACATTTTCTTCCAGCACACTTTACTTAGCATTCCCTTAATGGGATCAGATTTCCATTTATCATGTCACATACAAAAAGATCAAAATCTCTCTGAAAAAAACCTAAACCCTATTTATTGCAAATTCCACCCTCCCCTGCCCAACCTATCCCAATTAAATTTTAAGAAAACTGGGGCATTACAAAATATATTTTTCACAACTATGTTTTTAAACTTCTGTTTTCTGTACCGCAGCCTTATTCTTTCTACTGGAATGTTACTTGGAATCTGTACTTTAGAAGTCACAGCTCAAAATTTGGAGAGATCTGAATGTAATTACTTACTGCAGGTACCAGTAATTTTTTCACTTCTTCAACAGCCCTCTTCAATTTGATTTCTGCTCTGTTTTGAGCATCTTCCACAGTGATTAGTACATGTAAATCTTCATTCAGGTGTTCCCAGTTGGGCTTGCCTCTGTTTTGTTCCTCCTAAAATAAATAAATAAATAAATTCAATCAAAGGCTCATGGAAATTATTGAATTTCCTTGGCTACTGTATATTCATAAAATCTTTATCACCCTTTTTTGTCTTTAGGGTTTAAAAAAGCCAAACAAAAAACGACCATCACAACGTATTGTGCCTTCAACAGATGACAAGAGTTTCCGGAGTGGGGAGACGGATTGGGTGGTGAGCGGAAAGTCTGAGCAGATCTGAAAACTGAATACAAGTTTTTTTTTTTTTTAAATAAACAACCTTAACCTAAGACAGTACTAAAATTTACTTACAATTTTCAAACAATTAAAAAAGTTAACGTGAATGGGAGGGCATAAATATAAAACTGCAAAATTTCCAGTTGACTACTAAAATAACTCCTCTTCAGAGCTTATCTTTTGTTTAAAATAACAGCAAAGTGAGTAAGACTAAAAAAAAAAAAAGCAAGCACTGCAATGAATAAAATTTCTTTTAGAACAAGTAACCCCTTCCTCCAGCACATGGAATAGAGAAAGAGCAGGATGGGGACAAAAAAAAAAAACTTGAATGCCTAAATGGTCCCAGAGAGCAGTGTCTAAACAGATGAAGCACACTGTTGGTTAAATAAGAGATTACTTAAGTACTTTAACTAAAGGCCCTTCAAGATGCATCATCTCTATTTATATTTCAAATGCGGATGCGCATGCACGCCATGTGCTGGAAATTTTCAGTAGCAGTGTCCGTTGACCTGCATGTGCAGCATACGTTGCCTCATGTTCCAGGTGGGATTGTAAGAGGCCATGCAGGGCAACACTCCTTCAGTCACCGTGTTACCGCTGGTTAGCCCAGTCTGCAGCAGAGGGGATTGTGGGTGGGTCATGGAATACCAATAAGGACTACACATCTCAAAGAACCTCCAGTTACCAGCTAAGTAACCTCTTCATCTTTGAGTGATGGTCCCATGTGTATTCCAAATGCAGGTGAGTATCAGGAAGTGATCAGCTTAGAGGTGGGTGCGAGGATGCAAGAGGTACTGCCTTCTGCTGCTCATTGGTCGATGGAGTAATGGGCTGTGAAGGTATGTACAGGGCGCCAGGTCACTGCTCAGCAGATGTCGTGCCAGGGGATAAGTGTGAAAGGGAGCACGTAGCAAGGGGCTCAAAGGGAGGTCTGGTGAGGGTGGAGAGCACAAGATTGAGGTTTCGGAGGGGTGGGGGTAGTTTAAGGACTGGTAGGAAGTTGTTCAACAGCCCTCTGAGAAATCAGGTGGGATGAGTAAAGACAAAGTGTCCATCCACCGGCAGAAGGAAAGCACTATGCACTGCTAAGTGGACCCGGACCGAGCTAAGGGCAAGGACTGAAGTCTTAAGTTCTAAGAGATAGTCCAGGATGGTGGGGATGGAGATGTCCTTAAGGAGGAGACAGATATGTTACACCCAGTAGGTGAAATGCTTCCACTTCACTGTGTAGCACGCCTGTGTGGAATCTTCCTTGCTGTGCATAAGTATTTGCCAAACAGATGTTGAGCAGGCATTGTCTATGTGTGAGCCCCATCCAAAAATCAGACTGTCAGTCGAAGCGGGCTTGCGTTAGGGTGCCAAACTCAGCCTCGGTCCTGGGTGAAGAGGTCTGGCAGAGTGGGGAGACGGATTGGGTGGCAGGCAGAGAGTCTGAGCAGATCTGAAAACCAGAACTGCCACGACTGTGGCCTGGTTGTGGTGGATCTTGCACAGGATTTGAAGGAGGAGGGGAACAAGGAGAAAGGCATAGCTGAGACCACTCCACCATGGAAAGAGGAGAGCATCTCCTTGCGAATCGTGCCCCCGACCTCCTGGGAGCAGTAGAGCGGGAACTTAACAGTTTTTGCAAGTGGCAAAGAGGTTCCAGCGAGGGATGCCCCAAACACTGCAGATAGAGTGAAGAGTGGGGTTGTATTGTTCCTACTCCTGATTGAGGAACCAGGTCAAGCTTAGCGTGTGTGCCAGAGAGTTCAGAGCCCCCGGGAGGTACACCACGTGGAGTGTGACATTGTGGTGGACACAATCATCACACAGTGACTGGGACCCAGTGCCCCCTTGTCTGTTTATGTATGCCACTGCAATGGTATTGTCGGAGAGGAGCTGAATGGGTTGGGCTCGGATGAGGGGCAGGAACGCATGGCAGGCTAAGTGGACTGCTTGCAGCTCCAGAATATTGATGTGCAAGCATGCTTTGAACTGTGTCCAAGCCCGTTGGGCAGCATGTCTGTCCAGGTGGGCTCCCCAATGGGCTAGGGAGGCATCCATGGTGATGGTGGCTGTGGGAGTGGTGAAGGGGATGCCTAGTAGCACTTTGGCAGCATTAGTCCACCAAGCTAGGGCGGCCCGGATGGGGCATGGGACAATCAGGATGGTGTCAAGGTGGATGATGTGGAGTCTGCAGATAGAAAGGAGCCACAATTCCAGAAAGTACATGTGCAAGAGGGCATGCAGCGTCACATGGGTGCAGGCCGCCATGTGGCCGAGGTGGCAGAGGCAGCAGCGCACTTTGGTGCGTGGATTTCGATTTAGGGCTGCCATGAGGGCCGTCAGGATGGCGAAACTGTCTGCTGGGAGGAAGGCCTGCACTCCCATGGAATCCAGGCACGCCCCAATTAAACAGATTGCGTCAGGACAAGCACATATTTCTCCTCATTCATACAGATGTCAAGAGTGGCAAGGAGCAAGCAGAGAGCACGGATGGTCGACGTATGTTTCGGCGAGGGTTGATGTCACCAGTAGCCAATCATCTAAGTAAGGGAACACAGTTGGGCCATGACGATCGAGAAGACTTTGGTAAATACCCTTCGGGCCGCTGCAATGCCAAAGGCAAGAACTCTGAACTGGTAGTGGTTATGAAGTGAAGCAACCTACGGTGGGCCGGATGGATGTCAATGTGGAAGTATGTGTCTTTCATGTCAAGGGCTGCAAACTATGGTCCCTGGGGAAGGGAGGGAATAATTAATGCAAGTGTCACCATATGGCACTTGACTTCCTGATGAAGGTGTTGAGTAGTTGGAGATCGAGTAAAGGATGGAGACCTCCTCCCTTTTTTTGGATGAGAAAGTATGGGGCGTAGAAGCCATTGCCGACAAAAGGGTCAGGCACTGGTTCAATTGCACCTTTCATCAGGACGGCATCAGCTTCATGCTGAAGGAGGCTGCAACGCAAGAGATTCCCAGGAAGTGCCCATGAGGGGACCCCAATAGGATGGGAAGGTAAGAAACTCGATAGAGTAACCGTGCAGTATGCTCTCCAGTACCCAACAGTCCATGGTGATCTTGCCTCAGTTGTGGGTGAATAGGGCAAGATGGCCCTCAAAGGTGGTAGAGGAGGCTGGGGATGGTGATGTGGGGGGCTCGCAGCTCTTCAAATGCCTGTCAAAACTGGGTCTATGGTTGATTCCATGTTATGGTGGAGGAGATGGCTGATGGTTGCGGATGCGATGATATAGGGCAGCATCATAGAGGCTCCTGATACGGAGCGTAATTGGGCTGGTATGGTGCACGGAAGTGTGACCTCTGGTTTTCAATGGGGCGCTGGGGTGTAAATCCTGAGATAGTGGATTCTTGCTCTCAAGACTTACAGAGAGTGGAGGGACTCTCTTAGAAGAGAACAACTTGTCCTTGTTGAAGGGGAGGTCTGGATCTCCCTGGGGCAGCCAAAAGGATTGCAGCTAGGAGTCTCTTTGCATGATGATGCCTGTGGCAGGAGAGCAGGACGACATATCCACTGCATCCACTGCAGCTTGGAGGCTAACCTTGGCCATCAGGTGGCCTTCCTCCACCAGGGTCTGGAAGATCTGTTGCTTGTCCTGTGACGGATCCTCCAGGAACTTTGCTATCTTGACGCAGTTATTAAAGTCATACCTAGCAGAATCTGGTAGTTGGATATGCGGAACTGCAGGGCTGCAGAGTAAATCTTGCGGCTTAGGAGGTCAGGGTGCTTTGCTGCTCTATCTGGGGGTCTGGAGATATGTTTAGTCTCCACATTCACCACCTGTGAAGTGGCGTGGGAGGGGGGGGGGGAGGGAGAGAAGAGGGAGGAAAGAAAGTCAGCCCTCTTGGCTGGGACAAAATACCTGCATTCCACTCTCTTAGGTGTGGGGGTGCATGAAGCTGGTGTGTGCCAGAGTACCCATGTAGGTTGAAGGATATAGTTTTTTACGGGCAGGGCAACATGAGATGGTACCCTTGGTTAGAGGATGTCTAGCAGATGGTGATGTTCATCCAGGACTTTCTCCAAAGGTATGACCATCAGGAGGCAAGAGGGCTGGGGGGAATTGGTACATTGACAGGAGAGGATGACGCAGCTGGCGGTACCAGCTCCTGCTCAGTATCTGTTTCCAGATCTGAGCTGGATGGTTCCAGCACAGGGGCTCAGATGGAAGGGTGTGAGGCCTGTGACAGTGGATATGGATGGTGGTATGGGTTGCGTGGTGGCCAGTGTGCCCATAAGGGTCGGGTCCTGGGGTACTACAGGCCCCAAAGGTATGCGTATCAAGGTGGTGGTGCCACAGCGCACCCTGCCTGATGCAGCTGTCACGCTCAGGAGTCAGAGCTGCTCCTGGACACTGGGGAGAATGATGGTTCCTCTGCTGGCTGAGTAGCTGTGGCGTCCAAAGAGACCACCGGTAGCGGTGGAACCATCAGTGCAGTCAGTCCCACAATCGCCAGGTGTGGTCTCTGGCCCAGGAGGAGCGGTGCATCCGCCAGGGTAGAGGGCTGCCGTGCCAAGGGCAGTGGCAAGGGTGGATCTGGCAGGTCTGAGTGCGAGTTTGGAGCAGTGATTTGACTAGCCCAGGTGTCCAGGGTACATCCCACTGACTGCTGAAGTGGGGAGGCATGACCTGGCATGGTTTGGGGCTGTACTTCGAAGCTGTACTTCGCTGCAGTCTGCAACAGGGACTTGCTGCAATGGCCATGTGAGCACTTATGAACTTTGACTTGGACTTGTTCTGTGCTTGCAATGCTGTTGGATCCAGGCAGAAGGTGGCAGAT